TCATCCACGTCTGATTAAAGTTTTCAATGTGTGTCGTATTTAAGTTTTCCTTTCGGACTTCAGGCTCTTCCATACAACGTAATCCGCCGTATCACGTTCGGCGCACCAGCATATCTTGGGTGAGGTAGTGCGCTCGCTTTTGTCAGGGCTGTGCACACGGTTGAAGTGGAAATATGGCTGGAGGAGGAGGAAACAGGCGGGGAAAAACCTTCGTGCCAAAATATAGTCGTTCGGGGGGCACCAGCCCCTGCTGGCCCTTGGTTTCGCCACTGGTTCCTCGTGAAATTGTACAAAAGGACAAGCTTACAACCCTACTAAAACAATTTAATTATGTAAGTTAGTAATTTAAGAGATGCTAAACTTCCTCTATTTCACATTTCACATTTGTTCTTGAAGGTCCTGGATGTGAATCCTGCCATTTCTGGATTTGCCTAATATAGACACTTGCATCATCTGCGAGTTCTGAAATTGTCGGCGAACTGGACGGGATCGTTGGAGCCGTAGGAGGTAGTATTGTGACGTAATCTGCTGTGTCACGCTGTGCTAATAGCTTCCTTTTCCTAAAAAAAGGTGCTAACAGCTTCCCGCCTTTCCCCTACACCCTACGTGATTGCCACGGCATGCACCGATGGCTTCACAACCAGTGCCTCCACGTGAGCAGAATGCCAGAACCTACAGTGGATCCGATCATAGGCGGTGCCGACGTACCGTGCGCGTGATGACAGATTGGTAAGTGCTTATCCGACTTCTACTTTTCGATCACCTGCACAACATAGGTGCTCTGACCGCCATAGTTTGGTTTAGTACCATACCGGAGCATTTCGCTGGACGTGATCAGTTTAACTACGTGCCTGGCCAGCTACTCCTCGCCGGGCCTCGTAGCGGTGGCCCACGTCATCCCAAGCTTGGGGGTAAAGGTGTTGGCTCGGCGGAGCGGTGGCCCACGTCATCCCAAGCTTGGGGGTAAAGGTGCTGGCTCGGCGGAGCGCAGAGCAACGCATAGACTGGATCCGACATCCTTAGCTCACTGCAGGTAATTATCCGTGTGACGGTCACAATCGCGGAGCGCTGAGCAACGCATAGACTGGATCCGACATCCTTGGCTCACTACAGGTTATCCGGTGTGACGGTCACGATTGTAAATCTGGACGGCCTGTACGTGGAGGGTGGTTCGCTTCGTCCCTGCTCTACTCTCCATCGAACCACCACCTTTTGTGGATGGTGGCTCCCTCCGTTCCTTGCTCTCCTCTCCATCAAACCACCATTTTTTGCTTCTCTCCAATATGTTCCATTAATTTTTTCCTATATTTTCTGCACATGCATGCAAACATACAACAATACTGTTGATGCCATTGCTTCCTGCCTGCCAATTACTCACTCATTTCAAATTATAAATCAGTCTACCTTTTCTAGATAGATTATTCTGGACATAATATTTATCGGTGTGTATTAAAAAACAACTTACCTAAAAAAGACAAGGACTTCCAGATTAGGATGGAGGAAGTATACCAGTTATGACAGTCGTCTATGGTTCACCTAAGCCAACAATTAAGCGACACATGTTAATCTGCCCTTGACCTAGCCCGTTCAATCTATCTTATAACATCTTTCTTTGAAACATGTTGTCACCGCTCAACTCCATCGTTGCTAGTGAGGCACATCCTCATGGGTTTTAGCCATTACTTAGGCCTCATTTGGAAGGGCTCTTAGCTGCTCTGACTCCTGCACTATACCCATGGTCCTGTTCATTAAAACCATTTTTGTCTCTTTTCTCTAAATATTTTTAGCTCCTTTGACTCTGGCTCCTCGGATACTATAGCACAGAGCCGGAGCCGGGAGGAGCTCAGCTAAACACGCCTTAGTCTACAACATCTCATTTTAAAATATCGGCAACCATCTCCACCACACCCACACCACACCCACCCTGACATCCACCATCTTACTCATCTCTGGCAGTAGGGACGTCAAGAACAAAAACAAATTTGCTAATTTCATCATCTGAGACTAACAAACCCTAGCTTGAGCAATAACAAAAAAACAATCGACTAAAATCCTAAACCCTAGCTTCAGCATTATCAAGAATCCAAAAAAATCTACAATCATGATCTAAACCTATTGGACAAGATTGGATTTCAAAATCCAAAATAGTTCTAGGATAGTAGTCCAATGGTGGTTCTCCTTCGTTCCGCCTACGCGGGTCCATGGGGAAGCTAAAGCAGAGTTCTCCTTCGTTCCGCCTACCCTCTCCTTAGGTCGACAGTCTTCAACTCCGGCCAAGGTGTCACCTTGTCATCGCAATGCCCCCTCCTCGGTGAAGGCAAACAATTATGTGGGGTGTGCAATGAAAGGACTGATAAGCAGGGTTTCTGGATATTTTACCCCACCTGACATGTGACTCAAATCTCACGTGGCTAGAAACACACACATTGGCACTCCACATCAGCGGCCTAGATGAGGTGGGATGGGGTTTGCTTGTTAGGACCAGGTTGACACAGTAAACATAGTTTAGGGACCCCTAATATTCAATTTTGGAGTACCGGGAGCTAGTGAGAATTCGATACAAGTTTAAGGACCACCGGTGGAATTCACTCTCTATAGATAATACTTTGGGTATTTTATTGCCTAGCTCACGAACCAAGCAAACCAGCTTGAGCTCGCAAACAAGCCGGTCTTCTGGCTCATTAAGATAACAAGCCGAGGTGAGCTAGCTCACTATCTTAACAATCCATATCAAGTCGAGCTAGCTTGATATCCAACCCTATATATAAAAACACATGTTATGGGGATGGGGACCTTCACATATGCACGGTCATGCTCTTGCCCTAGAGCACGACGCCTCATCTTGCTCCCGCCCTACAGCGCGACGCCTCGTCTTGCTATTGCCCTAGAGCACGACACCTCTATCTCTTAGAGTTCTCAAAAAGATTCTTGTGGCTCAATACACATCAAAAAAGTATGTAAAGCTAAATGTAAAAGTATTTTTGATAGAAGCTAAATCAATAAGCTTTTTTTTGTTCAAATCAAATTTATAGAAAAATCCAATATTTACGACAATATGCCACTCTCCGTCCGAGCCCTGTGGCTTGATGTAGTAGCCCATGTAGCATTATATCGGAGATCACCTACATAGACTTTTTGGAAGATGTGGGATAAGTTATCTATTGGAGACAGTGTTGTCCTAAATGCTAAACGATAAAAAGTAGATCACACTATGTTTAAGATAGTGTTTAAACGGAGTTAAACCATATAAACAACTTTGTATAGTAATACTAAAATATAAATATTTATGTATGTAAAAGTCCAATATACTAGAAAACACGCATATTTACACATGTAAAAAATAAGTATTCTATTAAATAATTTGTTTGGAAGAAATTAAATCAAATCCACTCCATCTCATATACTTATGATGTTAATTAGTTGGGTACCAAATGTTGTAGTTGTAATCCTCTAGTTGACTAAATGGTGAATTAAGTGGCATTTTGGCTCATCTATTCATGTTTAACTCGTTTTGTTTAGATCATTTAGACACTTTTAACGGGTTTAAATGGTTGAACCGTATTAATCACCATTAGGGTCTAAACGACACGTGTGGCCTTCATTTACTATTTAAACGTTATTTAAACGGACTAAACGATTCATTTAGACAAATAGTGGTTGGAGAAGCTCTTAGGTTTTAATGATACTTGTTAGAGTGTGTAGAGATCTAGTTCACCTTACCTATGGGCCAACCCCTCGCTATAGCCTGGCTTAGCTGAAGTCCAAAACTAACCAAGGCCTAGGGATAAAGTCAAAACAAATCCTAGGCTAATGTGTGAGGTTTGTCTCCCTTTTTATGTTGTGCTCTCCGTGGTCATTTTCTGTGATGAAGTTAATCTAACACAACTAATGTTTATATACTGAAAGTTTGTATTTCTGGTCTCGATCTTCTATATCTATGCTACAAAATGACTTTTGCTGCTCGAATGCATCAAGTTCCTTCCATTCCCATGCACGGCGCTATGATATTCTTCGGATAGAAAGAAAGATGCAATGAAGTTTTTCTGCAGAAAAAGTCATGAAACGTATATCTTGTCTGTAATCATGCTTTGGTCTCTTTATCTTTATGCAAATATATATGGGTAACAGAGATCATATCGCTTGTGTGTGCAACTGCGAGAATGATTAAGTTCAGCCAGCACAACGGAGCAGAAACAACGATGATGATTGCTTCACCGGGAGCTGCTCTTCATTTGTTATCAGCCTTTTTCATTTTCTCTGCCCTTTAGCTAGCACAATTCAATTTCCTTTTGCGAGAAAGCACAATTCAAATTTAATAGGCCAATACTTTTGTTCTCCTGCATGCTCTTCTTATTTTCCTTTAAAGGTGTTCAAAAGACAAGCTTGCGTTGCTAAAATGCTAAGCACTAAGAAAAAAAAAATCCATCTCTCGCGTGGAGTTTGACAACCTATCAAAATCTTGACACTCTTTCTTGCAGTACATGTTCTCCAATTGGTCTGACGGAAAAATTACTAGAAAAAATTTATTTAGTAGCACTGAAACATCATAAGAATCCTGAGATACAATCGAAAGAACTTGTCGTCATAAATATCACCTGAAGATTAAAACGTTAATTAATATAGCGCCCCGTTACATTTTTCATTGAAAACTTCGGACAATCTCATCCATGTTTGACCACACTGACATTACGGGTGCATTCGAGTTCTTATATGATATGCCAGTTCTCCTGGTGGTGTTAAAAAAAACAACTTCGCTTTCTATTCCAAAGGGATTATATATAGCTATAGGATCACAAAACAAAATATTCTCAGCTACTTATTTATTTTGTACAAGAAAGAATTCGATGCATCCATAATTATACAACATATGATTTGAACCCTATTTTCGTACTTATCAAAACTTACATATGTGTGCTATGGTAAGATGTAACAATATTCATCTATATAGGGTTCTTGTGGTTCTGTTCGTTTCCCTCCTCCCTGTCCCTGATCCCCATTTCCTACAGCGACCAACTGTCTTCGTCGTCGTCGTCGTCGTCGTCTCTTGCATGCTGGCCGTACATTTTCAGGTTCGCCATTGCCGTGGTCGCTGACATACGGAAGGACCTTGCAGATCCAACAACCGTCCTGTCCTGCTGGCTGACCTCCTTGCAGACATGGTCCAGCATGGACAGGAAGTCCCTCACCACCATGAATATCCTCAGAGGGTGCGCTTCCTCCTTTGCAGCATCACCATGGAAATACTCAGTGATCTCTTTCACTCTTCCCAGAGCCCTCTCCTCGTCGCACCGGACTTGTTTGATCTCCATCTCAGCTTCCTTGAGAAAATCACGCATCCTCGCGAAAAAATTCTGGCCTTGGGTGCACTGCTTCTCGAGCAGGAGGATCGACTTCATCTTGCCAAGACCGGTCTGAAGCTTGGATACATAGCTGTGCAGCACATCGAAATCCATGCTAGCTGCTTTTTTGACATTCCCGAGCTCATTGCTCAGCCCAGATACAACTTTCAACCCTTGCTTACGGAACATTTCGTCTTTCACGATATTTCTGGCCCCTCATCTTCTACGGCTTTCTCGGATTTTGCGTCTTCAGACCGGACGATTTCTTGGACAACAAAGTGTAGCAAGGTGGTTTTGCCATCGGTCCCTTTGACGTCTGCGAGTTTGAGTAGAGTGTCCAGCTTGAAAGCTTTTGCCTGACCACGGTTTGTGCCAACATTCATTCGGTTCCCAGCTTGCAGGACAGCTTCAAGTAGCTTCAGGAACAATCTACTGCCTTTTAAATCATCACAAGCTCCCTGCAAAACCATGCCAATAATGTCAGCCACTCATACATACAGTTGCATCATTGCTCAAAAGGGCTTATAATTAATTTTGCCAATAACTAGACAAGCTATTACAGTATTACGCCTGAAGATGTTGCAGGGGTGCCACTGTCAGATGCACATAGAGTGCCCAACTGGCAATGGCTGAAGGGCAGTGACCGATATGCTATGAACTGTTCAAATCTACGATTGTGAATGAAGAGTTTGTTGCAAAACAATTACTTTGTTCTACACTTTGGCAGTTGTGCAGTCTAAAAATTGATAATAAATTACCCATATTGGTTACAGAGCCTTACAGGCAATAGATAGTAAATGATGATGAATATACAAATTCATGTGCAGCCACTGATCATAGAAACTACAATACTATGCAAAGTGAAAGCATACCTCTAATGTTTCGAAAGATTTCCTGAGGTAATTAATTTCGCTCTCAAAATTTGCTCGATAGAGCATAGCATCAACTCTTTTGAAGGAGAAAGGGATATCAAGCAGTGCCTTGAGAAAACGCTCTGCGGAACCAAGCTTTGATAAGTCCCCAGTAAAGTTTTGAAGTTTCAGTTCTTCCTCTTTTGTAGGAGCCATCTTTACTAAGGTTTCCAACAAATCCGCCCCCAGACATTCAGCATTGCCTATTTAAGAATGTCAGTAGCAATAAACATTGTAAGTAGAACTAGACAGAATAGCTTTGAATGCTGTCATGTAGCTGACTGAAAATTCTGGAGCAGTATGTATTGCATATTTGCCTTAATTTGAATCTGAAGTCCTCAAAATATATCAATACCCATTGATATGAGCATTAAAAGATATTAAGCTTCCAAACATGTTAATTCTAAAAATATTCAGTCCAAAATTACAGTAATCTGATATTAGAATGTATATGATGCTTGCTGTGAACTGGTTTGCCAAGTTTATTCAGAGTACGGCAGTACGCTCAAGATGAAGAATCAAACTACATGCATAATGAAACGATCTGCTAACAAGTACTCTGAGTTCCGTCAGATGCTGTGATACAAACACATATGGATGATTGGATATTCAGAGCTTTCCTGTACAGTCAAATATTTCAGCAAATTATAGTGTTGAGGTTACCTTAGAAATGTCCACATCATAACTAATTAACGACCAACAACTTATACATAATGGTCAGTCAAGACAGATATTAGTTGAGGTTACCTTAGAATCCATGACTACTAGTTCCTATTAGGTAAATATTCTGGCATCAGAAATATCCATCAATCAAAGAATTCCTCACCATCTAGCAGTGCATCGGAGACCTCTTCCAGAGTGACATTCAGTGCGCGCAGCAGGATGGCAATGTTCTGTGCCTTCTTAGGATCAAGGACCTTCTCTTGGGCACTACACTGCGGCACTTCAGGTTTTTTCAGTGTGTCCCTAGGAGGTGCATTTGCAGCATTGTTCGTGAAAAGCACCTCGATCATGTCCTCATCCAACCTGCCAGAAACTCATGTCAACATCACAATTTTTAATGATTTACTAATCGTGTGTCTGAGAATGTATCTTTTTTTAGGGAAACTGGAGGGGTTTGCACCCCTACAGCACATTTATTAAAAAAAAGTGTCCAAAAGATTACAGGAAACAGTAAAGCAGCAACCTAAGAGTGAGGGGGAAGGAGGCTAAGCTAGGGAACGAAGAAACTCTGAGAATGTATCTTAACTGGAATGAGTTGGACTTGAGCCGGTCCCAGACCATGTCGCGGTCGGAGCACGCCCGGACCTTGTCCCAGTGCAGCGGCTTCAGCTTGGGACGGGCTTCGTCACCGGCAGGATCATCGTACGTCCGAATTGGCATGCCGTCATTGTCCTTGTTCACCGCCATGACGGGTGTTCTCGGCGCAGCGACACTTGGCCCCTCTGTTTGCTCTGGTTTGTGAAGCTGGCGCGTTGATAATGGTGCAGCGGATGGCCCCGGTGGTGGTGGCGGAGGTTTTGGGATCGCGTTGGTGCATCTTGGCGCTGGCGGCGGCGGCGGCGGCGGTGGAGGAGGTGGGTTGGAGGGTGGCGAGACCATTTGCTTGATCATATCCGAGGCGGAGCCGGCGGAGAAGCGGGTCCGCGGCAGAGTGCGTCGGGAGCGTGGCGCAGGAGGTGCGGGCGGAGGAGGCGCCACGGTTGCAGCTGGAACGGCGGCGGCCGGCGTCGGTGGGAAGAAATCGCTGGTGAGGCTGGGGAGGCTGCGGCGGGAGGGAGTGGTGGTCCGTGGGCTGGAAGCGCTCGCCTCGCTCCACGTCCCGGCGCCCTCGCCGCCGACGGACCCCGCCGAGCGCTGGCCCGGCGTGTAGTACGCGGCGTCCTCGTCGGACGACGCCGCGCGCCGAAGCGGCGGGAGCGGCCTGAGCTCCGGGCTCGGGACGGTGTCGACGTCGCGGCACATGCCCCGCCTGGCGCGCTCCGAGCGGACCTTCCGGTACGGTGTGGCACCGGCACCCGACGACGAGGCCGCCGCCGCCGCAGCGGAGGTGCCCACCGCGTCGGCATGCAGCACGACCGCGGAGGCAGGCCCAGGGTGGGCGGCGGCGGCGAGGCCGGGGGGTTTGTTCGCCCACGCGGGGTGCCGCCGCGCGAGACGGCCCGTGAGGAGAAACGCGGCGGCGAAGGCGAGCAGCGCGAGGACGGCCGCGGCGGCGGCGGAGGCGACGACAATGGCGGCCTTGGGCGTCCCGCCGCTGCCGCCGTGGAGGCGCGGGGCCGGGCCCGTGCGGGACGAAGAGGCGTCCGCGGTGACGGTGTTCGGTGGCGGCGGAGCGGGGAGCAGCGCCGGCCCGCCGTTGTCGATGGGTGGGACGGGCGTGGAGGGATCGGAGGCGAATCCCGGTGCTGGCGGCGCCGTGGTGGACGGCGGCGGGGTCCATTCGATGGGGAAGAGCGGCTCGTGCAGCGCCCGCCTGGTGTCGCCGGCGGCGGCCGAGTGGACGAGGAAGAGGAGTGAGGTGAACCTCAGGAGTGGAGACATCGGTAAGAGACAGGGAGAGAGAGAGAGAGTGATGAACTCCTGGAGAGAGGCAGAGAGGGAGCGAGGGTGATGGCAGTGGAGTGGGAGTGGCGATGGCGGAGTGGGAATGCAAGGAGACACGACACGAGAAAGGAATGCGTGCGGGAAGAGGAAGGAAGCCGCCATTTTCTGGGTTTGCTTGATAGCAACGTCTCTTCGCGCACTCGTAGCACTTTTTCTTCATATATCAGCAGAGACTTTCTCCGCACGCCATGTGGCGTGGGGTCACACGGGGTCCACCAAATTGATTTCCCTCGCACTCCCTAGCACTTTTTCTTCGTATAAATGTATATAAAAGCAGAGACCTTTGTGATTTCGATCAACATTTCTCGCAGTGAATTCGCGCTCCATGCGTCTACAAAAATTAGAAATTCGGGAGTTTTTCACTAATACCGCCTCCATTCTAATTTATAGAAGGTTTTGGCGTTTCTAGATACATAATTTTTATTATGTATATAGATATATCGTATATTTAGGTGTATAGCAAAAACGATATATTAAAAAAATTGGTCTATAATTTAGGATCGAAGGTGGTACTTATTAAATCCAAAGACAATAAATAATGTTGATTTAGTTTTTTTTATAAAAATAAAAATAAACAATAAATACAATATTATGAGCCGTTGGACCCTTGATAATTTCCTACATAATTAAGGCTGAACGAAAAACTCGAAGCTCGTTAGCTTGTTCGGCTCGTGGCTGGCTCGACTCGGCTCGTTATGATAACGAGCCGAGCCGAGCCAATATTTTAGCTCGTTAGCTATAACGAGCCAACTCGAGCTAGCTCGCGAGCCGCTCGCGAGCTAAACGAGTCAAGCTTCTAGGAAAAAAAGTATCAAAACTTATATTAGTTTTTGTATTACTTCATGTCTTGCACTTTACAATTGACTGGTAACTGGTCTAGACCCTATAAATTGACTGGTAACTGGTCTAGATGTATTTCTTTAATATTATTATTATTCTCAAACTTTAAATAAATACAAATATTATATTTTGTGTATTTTTTATACCTAACTCGCGAGCTTAACGAACCAGCTCAAGCTTTTAACGAGCCGAGCCAAGCTGACTTTCTGGCTCGTTAGGATAACGAGCCGAGCCGAGCTAGCTCGTTATCTTAATGAGCCAGAACGAGCCGAGCCGAGCCAGCTCATTATCTAGCCTTATACATAATAAATAAATTTTGATGTAGTTTTAATTAGAATAAAACTTATTTTTATTAGAACAATCCAACTAATCAAAGAAATCTTGAACATTTTGTTATCCAATTTAATCTAAATTAATATATCTCAAAGCTATATGCATATATCAGTGTAATCCTCGACAAGAGCTGTCATGTGGAAATTGAAAGAAGTCTCCATCATAATCATCAACAGACGAAACGGTCCTTGACATGATGACAACTATCTCCTTATCGACTTTAGGGCCTATTTGGAACAAGGAGAAATTTTCATGTTCTTATGTTTTCCCGTGAAATTTTTGTATGGCTCCTATGAAATTCCTGCACAAAGAGACCTTTGATTGGATATTGGAATTACGTATTTTTATAAGACCTCAAAGAAAGTCCCAAAACTTGATATTTAATTCTACCAACAACATGGATAGTATGAAAATTAAAGTTGTGATATATTTACGAGTAAATATTTATGTGTCCTAAAACAAGAGGAAAAGCTACCAAGGTTGTATTTTAATTTGGAACAAACTTAATAACATTGTCATAGTATTACCAATGTCAATAATATATTATGGATTTCATGGTCATTACAAAATTAATTATAGCTTCTAAATTTTATAACGAGGGTAAAATATAAATAGATATGTAACATTCATGTCCTCATTTTCCATTAATATTTGGTAGCATTTTTTCTACCATTCAAACGCACAGACACGTTTGCTAGCTGAACTAAATTATAGACATGCTATAAGCTAACCATTTTTTTATACATGACAACAGGTGGGACCATAACAAACAATGCCAGATCTAATTCATGGGGTTTAGGTACATAGATCTTTTCACAATGCAAAACTCTTAGAACTTTTTATATTGACAAATGCAGAATTTTAAATTTCTTTTTTCTTTACACAAGTGAACACGGTCCGGACATGCATGCTAGGTGGGTGGGTGTCACGGTTTCCAAAGTAAACCAAACATTAATATATATATATATATATATATATATATATCGATGACACATATATCGATAAATATAGAAATATCAAAAACATTTTTATTACATATCGTAAATATAGTTAAATTAAGACTTATATATATATAACATAGTACATTGGAAGCTATTCTTAAACTTCTTTTCAGGCCTCCATGTTAGCTTGGAGAATACTTGTCTAGCACTCTTAGAACTTCTTAGGCAAAACTCATCACTTGAACCACTATTTAGTACCTATTCGATATTTTATTGCATTTGTAAGTAAGTGTGAGCATAACATACTCAACAAGTGTAACATGAGCTTATGTAAGACTCAAAGGCTTGACTTTGTTGTACTGCAATAATCATTTTGAATTGGTCATGTTCCATTTATTAAATCTAAGTTGCTAGGTTATACTTAGAACCCCGAGAGAATAGGACTAATTAACATCAGGATGAATTATATCCCAAACCATCCATCAAACTATCTAATTGAAAAGATCTATGTCATTTATGATAGAGAGCATGGCTGATATTTCAATTTTCAATAATTTTGCAGAATTTATTTGATTCCTTAGAAGAAATAGGACGAAAACCGTACATATGAATCTCGATACCCATCCGTGCCTCATACGGCCAACCTAACATTTGCAACATCAGGCTTTTCAAAAAGACTCCTTAACAAGTTGTAGCCTATGCATGGTTTCAGCTCAGGCGAATGAAATCCCCCTCCACAAAATTGCGCATATGAACATGCATTGCACACACCTAGGCATTCTAGCTAGAATTCTCTGTGCGAGCAGAATTTCTAGGTTTTGCAAAATTAAAAAAAGCTATTATTCAATTATTTGTTTTTTCTGCTGCTACATTTTGGAATTTCTACATTGTAAAGGAGTCCCTGATCTGTTCATCCACGTAATAATGCAAACCAGCTACGACATAATCCAGCTGGAAGAATGTGCCGTAGCGGCAGCTCGTTTTCAGGTCAGGTGTTAACTATAACGACTAGCTAGCAATTGATTGACCGAGCATGCAGGCATGATTAGTGTCGCGTCGCAATGGTATGCATGCTAACTAAACAAAGGGATGCATATTCAGCCTGTTCGTTTATTAGTTTCAGCCATGACCTATTAGTTATGATATAGTGTTTTTCTCTTACAACAAACTACCATCAGCCAGCTTTATCAACCCAAAAACCAACCAACGAACATGCAAGTGTAAGAGTGGCTCTGCCACCAGTACTAAGCACGCACGAATGATCAGTGTTGGATCCTACCGAAGCAGCAGCTAGCACAATCAACTAGAGCATTCCAGCATCCGGCGTGGAAGTGGACCGCACCCAATCGAGACAAATCGATAGGGCTCCACATGCAATGGATGGATGCAGGCAGCCAAAGCCAAATCCGATCGATCATTCTCCTCGCACAACCCTGCAGGCGTTCTCTAATATAATGCCACCAGTAATCATCACTCACTCTCACACGCCATCATAATTACCGGATCGTAAGTGAAGAACCGTCCTACTACAAAATGTTGGTTGATGTGGACTACAATATATCTCATATCTTCTGTTTCAAGAGGAAAAGAAGGGACTAGCTAAAATTCATGTGCTTAAATTTTAGTTTTCTTTTCAGGCGACGGTTATTGTATATGTTTTATATTAAAATTACAGCTTTAGTTGGTTGCAATATTTGTAAGCATAATCTGCAATTTTCAGTTCTTTAGTAAAAACCCAGTTAGACAAAACAACAAATCCACCACTAAATTCTGATTTGTTTGGCATAAAGAAAATTAACAATTTAAAATTGTTTCTATAGTCAGACACGCACAAAAATTTGATATGTTGTGACATAAAGACAAATAACGAATTATAAAAATAATAATTTACTTGTACTAGTTGGTGGTACAGGAGTATTGATTGAAACCATTTTAAAATTCAAGCACCTGAAATATAGGAGAAGTGGGAAAAGAAACAAAAAGAAAGAACAAAGAAGAAGCCCATGAACTCGTATATGAAAGCTTTTAAGTTATTAACAAGCCTTACAAAATACAAAATCTCCTACAACTAAAAAGAACATAGCGTGGACATTTTTTGGTGTGCGCATTTGTTTTGTGTCTGCCTCTCTGCCCGTATGATACCGCGGCTCCCGTCCACGCGCAAGTCTTACTAAAAACGGAAAGCCGCAATCACCGCACCCCTACCCCCCAACCCACCCCCCTATGATGGATCCATCCCCACCCCACCTCGACGTCGTCGTCCTCGCTGATCCCACACCACGCTGGATCCCACGGGTCGCCACCGTGCGTGCCGCTACCCATCCCCAGCCCCGCACCACTGTATCCCTCTCCCCTCGCTTCACGCTCGCGCCACCGTCGGTGGGTCGACACGGCTGAGGTGGAGGCGCTTGCCGTAGGCAGGAGCTCCGAGAAGGCCAGCAAGTCCAACGCGAGCGAGGCAAGCCACCAGGGCGAGGGCGTCGGCCACCAAAGCGGGGCAGGCGCCTTCGAGCCGCCGCCCACCCAGCGCGAGGCGACACCAGGCCGCCGTCCACTAGGCCACCAGGCGATGGAGCGCCTCCGCCTCAGATCCAACCCCCACCGATGCGAAGGCACAGGAGCTAGGGTTTCAATCATCCATGAGAAGGAGAGCGAAAAACGGCGGCGGAGCATGGGAGCCCCTAGGGGCGTGCGGCCACACCCTGGCGGCTCGCGGGAGGGCGCGCGACCACACCCAGCGGCGCATGGGATGGGGAGCGTGGTGTGGGCTTGAAGCGCTGCGACCGCCATCCCCGCCGCTGCGGCTCTCCATCCCTGCTGTGC